GGGAGACCTTACACCACTTCCAACAAATGGCAGTCCAATCTCCTCTTGAATGTCTCAAGTAAAAATTCACTTTACAACCATTTGACTAACTTAACAGAACTTGCGGTGATTCACTTAACAACTGCAGCAAAAAAGATCGTAAAATGGGGCAAAACTCACTTAACAAATGTCTCACTTAGCAACATAAATGCTGGGCTGAAATGTTGTGGCTGTAAATTGAGGATTACCTGTACTTTTATTTGTCCAGCCAGTGAAATATAAAAGAAAAGCATCTACAGCAGGTATGTCCAACCTCTGGCCCAAAGGTTGCATGCTAGTAACATGGGCCCCACAAAATAATAAAAAATAAAGGAAGTTTGTTATATATGTATGGATAATGACTACATTATATATTTTGTATGTGACCCAAGGCAATTCCTCTTCACCCAATGTGGCCCAGGCAAGCCAAAAAGTTGCACAACCAAGATCTATAGGTAGTCCTCATTTAGTGACCACAATTGAAACTGGTAACTTTGTTAAATGAATTGGTCGCTAAGTGAAACTACACTTGTGTTTATTTATTAAATTTCTACACTGCCCATCTCACCTAGGCAGTTTACAAACAGTGCAATAAAATCAGATAAGTATGTGAATAAAAGCATAGCTTAAGCAGAGTTTTACCAGAGTTAAAAACACATTAAAACCGACAAGTAAAAATAAATAAGGTTAAAAATTCAAAGGTTAGGAGGTTAACAAATTATGATCTTGCTTGAGTTTTGCTTTACAGACCTGTGAAGGTTGTAAATGTGAGGACTGGCCCTAAAGTCACTTCAGTATCAACATTGTAACTGGGAGCGGTTGCTAAATGAGATGGTTATTAAGCAAGGATTATCTTTGTTCAGGAGGAATCGAGTAGCAGCTTTTCAAATCAATATATTTTATTAAAAGACAGAAGCTTTTGGGAGCTGCAGCTTGTGAAAGTTGATGGCTTTAAGAAAGTGTGTTAACCAGTAAAAGATTCTTGCTTAATGTTGGCTATCATAAATAGCATAGCTCTCCTCCTACGATGCCTCCATTAAATAGTAATTGTGCAATGAAGAAAAAAAAAAGTGTTACAGTAATTAAAATGAACTCAACATAACCCAAAGTTAATTAACAGAGGAAACATCCATAGGATAAATAATATCTGTTATAAAATGAATGCATTTATTAAGCTTTTCATTATATCTTAGTCCGCAGAGCAATATATGCAGAGTGCATAAAGCAATATAGTGTGTCGTCTTCTTCTTATTTTTAAAAGGAAATAAAGACTTAAAAGGCAGCTCGCTCTTGTGTACAGACTCAAGCAGCTGAATGGAAGGAAGGCTAATTTCTTGCAGAGCGTTTTTGAAACGTGTCCCAAAGCTACGAGGAACTAACACAGCAAGGGGGGATGGGAAGGGACCCGTCATTTTTAAAACCTGGTTATCAGGAGAGAGTCTGTGCAAATGATCCTTGCAGGGAGAAATTCCTCAAATGTTCAGCCTTCAACATCTGGTCAACATCTGGCCTTTCCCTAACATTTGACTCAGTGTTGGCCTCCTGGCGACTGCCTAGGCTGGTCCTTGTCGGGTTTTTTGGCAAGGTTTCGGAAATGGTTTTTGCCATTGCCGTCTTCTGAGGGCTGAGAGAGAGGGACTGGCTGAAAATCAGCCAGCTGGTCTGGTGCATAAAAAGGGACTAGAACTCAAGGGCGCCTGATTTCTATAGCCCGGTGCCTTAACCACTACACCAAACTGCTTCTCTTCCCTGATACAGAAACATACTGTAGGATATGAGGGCTTACAAAGGTCCCTTAGAGCAGGGGTCCCCAACCACCGGTCCGCGGACCGGTACCGGTCCGTGGAACAAGTCCTACCGGGCCGCTGGCTTGCTGGGCGCCGCCATCT